AGGCATCGTCACTCCCATCTATAAGGGAGGAAGTCGTACAGATCCGGCCAACTATCGCCCGGTAACACTACTTCCGGTGCTCTCCAAAATCATGGAAGCGATTGTTGCCGAAGCGCTGATGAACTTGGAAGAACGCAATATCATAGCACAAGAACAACATGGGTTTCGCAAGAACCGATCTTGTACTTCAAACTTGCTGCTTGCCAGATCCAGTTGGACTGGGACCGTTGACAGCGCCGTAGGTGTTGACGCAGTATATCTGGACTTCTCAAAGGTGTTCGACCGTCGAAACCACTGTATCCTCCTTCACATGCTGCAGTGTTGTGGAATTGGCGACCCAATCCTCGGTTGGATAGCTAACTTCTTGCTTCAACGACATCTGAATGTAAGAGTTCGCGGCGTCATCTCTGACCCAATCGACGTTAAGTGCGGAGTGCCCCAGGGCTCAGTACTTGGTCCACGACTATTCCTGGTTTACATAAACGATCTCGCAACAGTAATCAACCCCAACTCCTTACTCTTCGCTGATGATCTCAAGATATGGCGGGCCATTAGAACAATCAGCGACAATGCAGCACTTCAGGGTGATCTGGACAGGGTCTACGAATGGTCGACTCAGAACCTGCTTCAGTTCAACGCTACAAAGTGCAAGGTGCTGAGCATACACCATAAAGCCACTTGCGAATACAGACTGGGGGATCAAATATTGCAGCGCACTACAACGGAATGCGATCTGGGCGTGATAGTTCAGGAAGATCTGGGTTGTTCCCGTCAGGCCGAGAAAGCCTCCAAAAAAGCTAACCAAAACCTTGGCCTTTTGAGGAGGGCATTCGGGCGCTTCGATCCTTCCATCTTTTCTCAGATGCTCAACGCCTACATTCGGCCTCATTCTGAGTACGCCATCCACGCCTGGCAGCCATGGCAAAAGCAAGACCTTACCGCTCTTGAACTGCCACCAGTACTGCACCAGTACCTTTTGCCAATCCCAGAAGATGTATTTACTAAGCTCATTGGTGGCACTTACTTTGTAAAGCTAGATTTATCAGGTGTTTATTTTCAAATTGAAGTCGACGATGCATCAGTGAAGCTGCTGACAATCATTACGTACCGAAGTGTTTGCCAACTCAACCGTTTGGTGTCAAATCAGCTCCTGCGATTTTTCAACAATTTACGGATCTGATGTTAGCTAGGTTATCAGGAGTCGCAGCTTATTTGGACGACATTATAATCAAATGGTCTACCCATCGAGAGCTGACGGAAGACTGGAGTTAGTTCTCAACCGTGTTACTGACTACACATTCCACTTGAATGCAGAAAAGTAAAATACTAACATGAAGTATGTAAATTACCTTGGCTTTATCATCGACAAAGATGGCTGTCGTCCGGATCCTTCCAACATAAGTGTCATCAAACAGATGCCGCCCTGACAATATCGCGAAGCTCAGATCATTCTTGGGGTTGTTCAGTCACTACGGCCCATTTGTTCCCGAAGTGCATCGGCTACGAGGACCGCTAAATGAACTTCTGGTGAAGGATCGCAAATGGGTATGATCACCCGAATACCAAGCTGCACTTAATGTTAAATCTATATTGTGTTCTAACCTATTGCTATAACGCATTTTAATGCGGAGCTGGAGATAGTGCATCTTGCTGGCGCTTCAGACTACGGACTTGTAGTGCTCATATCTCAGATTTTCCCCAGTGGTTCGGAGAAAGCTGTGGCACATACAGCCAGATCACTCACCTCCCCAGCGGAACGCAACTATAGGCAGATCGAGAAATAAGCTTCGGCTATAGTGCTTGCAGTCAAGCGATTACACAAAAGGCTACTAGACGAAAATTTACACTGTTCACAGAGCATAAACCCTTGGTTGAAATCTTTGGATCAAAGAAAAACATTCTGGTCTGCACGTCGAGTCGTCTCCAACACCGGGCAACCGTTCTACTTGGTTACGTTTTCGTCGTCAAATATCAATCTACGCACAACATTGGTCAGGTGGATGCGTTATCTTGTTTAATTGGTAGACAGCATCAAGAACCAGGGGATTTGGTAGTTGCTCAAATCTCCGTAGAACCCCAAGTAAATCAAGTTGGGTCTGACATTTTCAGTGTCTTACCAGTAACGTTCGAAATGTTGCAGGAAACGGCTCGTCATGATTCTACTCTACAACGTGTGATCAATTTCCACCTCAATGGCTGACGTAAGAGTTACAATGTATGTGCTTCAACAATTCCACTAACGGAAGGAAGCACTATCAGTCGTCAGCAATTGTCTACTGTCTTCAGATCGCGTCGTCATTCTTCAAGAGAGAGTCCGACAATTTCATACTGGTCGCCAAGGATTGAATCGCATGAAATCGCTAATACGAAGGTGTGTATTGAGCCTATATGGATTCCAAGCTCGAGTATTGAACGAAGAATTGCCCCCGTGCCGTTGTCTCTAAACAGCCAAGGAAGACGGAATTGCAATCCTGGTCAATACCAACGGAACCATAGTCCAGGGTACACGTTGACTTTGTGGGTCCAATTGACGGTCATCATTTTCTCACCGTTGTCGATGCCCACAGTAAATGGCCTGATGTGATTCCATTTGTGAGAACTACCACAGGAGCCACTGTCTGCTCTTTGGCAGGTCTTTTCTCATTTCGTTATTGCCCACACTTTGGTTACGGACAATTGTACACAGTTCACCTCCTCTGAATTTGTTGACTACTGTCGCAGAAATGCGACCGCCCATATTAGATCACCACCATTCCACCCATAATCAGATGGACAAGAAGAACGCTTTGTAGATGCACTCAAAACATTCCTGCTAAAAATGGAGGGAGAAGGTACCTAGGCGTAGATACATGACACATTTCTCCCGACTTATCGCACAACTCCCAATCCACCGACATCGAATGCACTATCCCGGACTGAAACTCTGTTTCCAAGGAAAATTTGTGTGCCGTATGATGCCCTCAGACACAGTAAGGAACAATTACTATCCCGCAAGTTCCAGATGGAACGTCAATTCAACATTCGGCACGGTGCTTAAAACCGAGCCCATCATGCTGGCCAACAAGTTCTGGCAGGAGATTGTCGCATCCACCATCCGAAATAGGCTATGGGCCGTGTGCTATACTAACGTGGTGACGTGATCTACGGTATCCAAGTGGAGACAGCGAATCGGGTGAGACGTGTCAATCAGCTGCTAGATGTAGGGATTGGAGAACAACTGCAAAAGTAAGTAGCTGCAGCGCAATTACCTCTGGACATACTGACCGCCAGGTGATGCGCACACTTCCCAGCGTACCCCTACACATCAACCATATGATTCGCCCCGAAACCTGGCAGCTCAGAGGCTGAAGTGGCGAAGCAAATTCGTGTAATCCATGCAAGTCAACCGCAAGCTGAAATCCTACAACGCTATTCGAAGGGAGGAAGTGTTAGGAAGGAATACCCTAAGCGAACAACCGAGGCACCCGTCGTCGTTACAGAGCCAAGGCATGACAGGCGAGCGAAACCCGCCCGCCCTGATTGGGATGAACAGAAAGCCAATCGGATGCAACGGTCATTTAAGACGAGGGTGGTACTACTAGTTTGGCTGTAAGTTGACGCTTCCTTTGTTTGCCACGCGAGCTTTAGATACCATTCGCGAACTTTCGAGTATTTTACTTTATAATGTACGGTGTGCTTGGCTAATACATCCCTGTTCCTCTACTAGTCCGATTCGGGTGCCCGGGACCTTAAGTTCCGATTGAGAATCAACCGTCAATTCAAGCGAATGATGACCATTTCACAGACCATATGAAGTACGCAGCTTGATGAATTCCCAAGTGCCAACAACTCTTGGACCCTTCGAAATTCCCTTGTGCCATGGAGACTCGGTGGAAACAACATTCATTGCTTCCAAGCGTGGACACTGCGGAATGATAAGCAGGACTGATGCGTCCCAAGTACATTTGGTCTACTAAGGTCATGTGTCAGCTTTTTTCGGTTTACATTAACGTTGAAAGGGAGGAAAGGCTTTTTACAACCGAGTTCGTGCAGTATCACTCGGCAAAATGTCAATGACACTTAAAGTATTTTACTCGCTATTTGTAACGGCGTCCAGTCGTTGAAGAATCGTTTACGGAATACAATCGGTGTCATTTCGTGAATGCATCCTCGCTTCTTTGACCCTCAAAATATACAACTAGCATCTTAACGGACAGTTCGATTGACAATTTTAAACGCGGCTTATATTACCAAGCCTCAGTTTGTCAGTTGATAGCTAGGCCCACGGGATGTTCTCTCCCCCGGTTATCGTGAAAAACAGGTGAAGTTTGCAAGCCTAGGTGCAATTCAAAGACTCCATTGGAAAATATCGTAGATTCCTAAAGTATATAGATGCGAACACTTAGATACTATGTTACGCTTGAGCCGCATCCCGCTACATGTTTAGCTGAGCACGAGGCACGACTACTTCGGTCAGTAAGCTGGGGTAATTGCATCTGCGGACAACCGTAATATTTCAGTGTAAATAGTATCCTAGAGGTTTCACTATGATGCGTTTGATAGATGCCATCTGAAGCGCAAAATATCGGACGGCATGGCACTGATGATAGTATGCTTTACGTTACCGCTAAGAGGGTCACAAGAGAGGAGCCAACTCTGTCAACACTGTAGTACTATCGGACACCCTTGGAGTGGTCTGCTCATTTCCACACGACACAATCGTACTGTGAGGCGTATTTCACGTACCTTAGTCCACGTTATCGGCATTCACTCAACTGAAATCTTGGTTCAGTCTCAACGACAGTGTTTGATCCTGATTATTGAGACCTCCGAATAAAATGCTACTTTTACTCACGACGAACCCATTGCATCTATCGCCACAGTGGGGGGGGGGGGGTAACTGCATTTCGGGCTTTGAAATAGGCTTGCCAAATAACCAATCAGCTGCTTGATAGGGTTCCTCGTTTTATTGGTTCATCCGCAGCCGGTAACATAAATTGCGTTTCGGAGAGAATGGTGATATCGTATTTGCCGATTTTTCGAGCAAAATGTGTTCATCACGTCTCGTGTGAGCAACCTACCTTTAAGAAATGCGCTTAAGGACGCCTCTTGTCCACCTGAAGTGTTCGCCGAATCTGGTGGTGCTCTGTTTCTTCGTCTACAAAACCACCGAGTCTTTGCTGCAAGCTGCAAACCGAATTCATGTATATCATACTGTATGTAACGGGATTGCAAATGTCAATACTAGTGAGAGTGTTTGTCGATCCACGGAAACTAATAGTCCATCACTTTCTGAAGGTATTTTCTTCAACCACACAGACGAGCTGAGGGCAGGATTTCCCCGAAACCTCACATGGAGTATGGAGAATTCGAAGTTTTTGGACCAGGAAATTAGCATACAACGGCACTCCGGTATGTACCTGGTGATTTACAGATGTCTTCTTAATATCCCGGCCACTGTGGCTTGTTTGTTCTTTGGTTCGTGGTCTAAGCGATTGGGTCACAAGTGGGTCATGTTAATCCCCTGCGTTGGCGCCATACTTGCATGCGGCTGGTTTAGTTGTGGCCTAATACCCTGGTTGAAACCCATCCCAGACGTGCTGTGCTTCATTATGGTCGGAGCACTTACAAACGGTCTGTGTGGAAAGAGTAGCGCTATGAGCATGGGAGCCAATAGCTACATCACCGATATCAGTTCCACAAAACAACGTACCAAATTGTTAGGTCGTTTAATGGGGATGAACTGTTTCGGCCTGTGTATCGGCCATGGTTTGTTGGCACTGTTCTTTCGATACAAAGGAATCGCTGAAGTGTTCGTGTTTGCTGTCAGTAGCAATACATTTATTTTGCTTATACTGTTGTTTCTTGTGCAAGATTCGAAAGAGGTCTGTGCGCAAGCAATTCTGAATGGACCTCGAACTAAGCCAAATGAGTTGGACAAGGACCATGGCGAATCAACTGCGGCTTCCTTAAACCCCAAAGATTCAGTTTGCTGGTGTATAGCAATCTGTCAGACTGTCAAAAACTCTTATATATTTCTGATCGAGAAAAGAAGTGGCCAATTAAGAACGATAATACTCTTCCTCCTTGGTAGTGTGTTGTTCAATCAAATGGCCAAATCTGGAGAGCAGGATGCTATACTGCTGTTTGTCAAAAACAAACCTTTTCGATGGACAGCTGAAATGTATGGTTACTATATAGCTGTATACTATGGATGTATGGCTATACTACTGACCTTGGTGTTGCCACTGATCGAATATCGACTCGCACCTCACGATACTACTCTTATTATGCTTGGTATATCATTCAAAATTGCTCGTCTCCTTACTACGGCTCTAAGTCAGAGTACAGCCATCCTATTCGTAGCTGCCGTGGGGGGCTCTGCAGCTGGATTTATCAGTTCTGGCATACGATCGCTGCTCAGCAAACTCGTCCATAGTGATGACGTTGGAGCAAGCTTTGCTTTGGTGTCTTGCATGGAGTCAGTGTCAAATTTATTTGGAGGAAGTTTATTCACCGGACTATACAATTTGACAATAACCATATTCCCTGGAACTATATTCGTCATCGATGCGGTGCTGCACGCGTGCATTCTTGGAGCTTTCATATGGCTACGTATCAAACTTTCTCACTTTGAAGAACAGGTGAATATTGCTGAGATGAAATAACTCTTCTATGTGTAGCAAATCTAACGGTTTCCAGTTAAAACAGAGTCTAATTTATCCCTGCATACATGTCTAATGTCATTTCTTGCTACCGTACTTCAACCTTTAGTTAAGCCTGTCATTTTTCGTTGCTCGTGTGTTTGAATATCTGTAGCGTTAAAAGTCATAGAGTTAATACCACCTTGAAGTACGGAATAATTTGATAATATAAGAGGTGTCTAAATTAGGTGTACCTAAGTGGATTGGGCTATCACAAACGGCTTTACCTCCCGATAGATTATTACAAGCGACACTGTTGAGAAGAACTAGTCGATAACTGTGATTGGCAAGTGGATTGCCTGACATTACCGGTAGAACCAAGTAATTCTTTTGATCATGCTAAACCCACTGTAGTACAATGAACATTGATTTGAACAATGAACAATGATTTATCACGGGATAAAAGCTAGTGCTTGACACTTCCCGTAGGATGGTTGAAGTGAATATGATAAAATCAAAATATGTCTGGGTCATCTATCGAACGTCTGCCGATATGAATAGTTTGATAAGCAACATCAGTGTAAAATTAAAATAAATTATCGGGCGGAAACATGCAGAAAGACACTGGGGTGCAGTGATCATTGAGGTAAAGAGTGAGAAAAGTAAAATATGGTCGCTCACTTAGGTCCATTTGATACATAAAGCCTGTAGAAATGCATCCTTGGCGTAATCCACAGTAGGGGAATTTAGGTAACAAAATGTTGGGAGCTAAGAGCGACATCTAATCGTTTTTTGAAAACATCCAGGGTAGGAGAGGATACAACTGAGTCAGGAAGTGCGTTCCAAGGTTTGCAAACCCGGAGGGAAAAGTAATTCCGTCGACACTCTAGACGGCTGTATTGTTCCTTCAACTTTAGTAGTTCAAGGGGCGATTCGAACGGATCAGCATGAGAAGGTAACAGTAATCCACAAAATGTATGGGCCTCTAGGTGTATGATACGTTTAACTCGAGTTTATTATATTTTTCACTAGAACATACAAAGGACTTGTTAGTTCTTGAGTGGCGACTCGGACAAACTTAACGGAATCTTAACTAGTTGGAGTAATAAAACTCCGTGCTTAGGTATTAGCCCCTACTTAAAATGCAACCAAGTTGTAGTCCAAATTTCCAGTAGCTTGGCAGCAACCAGTTATGAAATCATTATATCTCCTTAGTGCTTGCTTTCAAAACCCACTAGTTCACAGTAGATCCGACACTGAATGCAACAGAGTTGCACATAGCAACTACGGGCCACTCTGAACCTAAAAGAAGTCGCGACTGACCGTGTAATCATTGCCAATTTTCAGCTTTTCGCTTGACGAAATTAGAACTCTACATGAATTGGCGCTCACAGTTCTCATATGGTCCATCGAATCTTCCCAAGTCTTACAACGGAAAAGCTGGCTTTTTGACAGCCTACAGTGGTATATTGAGCAGTTCATATTCCCCGTTGTTTGGGCCTTACATGTTAGAACAACAGCAATGGCAAGTGGCTGATGCTGTCCGCTCGGATCAATTCAAGCCATGACGGGCTTCGCACTTGGTCACCAATCAACTATGAACTTATACGAGTCAAGGAGCACTGCTTTACAACTCCCATTGGATAGTTGTTGGGGATATCGAAATGATAATAAGAATAAACCACTTAATACTTTAAATGTGAAGAAGACTTATCATTTGCTCCGCTGAAGTTCTGTAATTCGCGTAAATTCCCATCACCCACAGTTAACATCAAATAAATTCAAGGTACACTTCAGTAGTAGGATGGAGACGTAACGCCAAGTAAAATTGCTAACTCTTAATGCAGCGTATTTTCAACATGTTGGCTGTTCTCTTGCTTCTGGACTGGTTAGTGCTCAAGTAGTGTAAGTTGAGTCATGAGCAATTAGTTCAGAATTTCGGGAATCGTCAGCAGTGCGTATTCCATCAGACCCTGGTGGGGCTCGAACCCGCAACTCGACTGTTGTCAGTCCGTGGTTGATACCACTGAACTACGGGGGACGGCAACGACCATCGTAAATAAGTTAGTAGATGTGATGTAGCACCGCTCACTATCCACTGACTCACATGTTACTGCCGTGTAGAGGACAGGGTAGCCTCCTCACCAAACGACGGGCTTACTAAACCTAAGCCGCCAATTAACATATGGCATTATAAGCAGTTTGGTCTGCGTACTGATTTCAGAGGAGTAGTAGGGGGAGTTGAATGGTAAAGGTAGAAATCCGTCACCTCTAGGCTCACTCACCTATACGATTCACTCTACTACTCTTCTGTAGTCAGTACGCAGACCAAACTGCTTGTAATGCCATAAGTTAATTGGCGGCTTATGTTTAGTAAGCTCGTCGCTTGGTGAGGCGGCTACCCTGTCCTCTGCACGGCAGTAACGTGTAAGTCAGTGGATAGTGAGTTGCGCTACATCAAATCTATTAAGTTTTTTTTACGATGGTCGTTGCCGTCCACCGTAGCTCATTGGTCTCAACCACGGACTGGGAACGGTCGAGTTGCGGGTTCGAGTTCTACTGGGGTCCGATGGAATGTGCACTGCTGACGATTCCCGAAAGGATGCAACGCGCGTACAGTGCTTTTCCAGGCGTGTCACGGCTGTCTGATTGAGCCTAGATGTGATGAATTTCTACCTATAACATTCACCTCCCTCTACTACTCTTCTGTAGTTCAGAACTGTCAGCTGAATCCTGGGCTTAGAGAACACCTCAACAGATTCCTTTTCAGTGGTTCGGACTCTTTAGCTCCGCGGTGGCAAGGTCTAACACAAAGAACTGACCAATGTTCTCAACAATCATGGGACGAGATGGCTACTCTAGCTAGCTGAAAGGAATGGTTCACATTGGCATTATTCACGAAGGGTAAACGCAACATATGTGCCAAGGCGGGGCTATCACTTTGACGGACGTTGTGACAAGTTTACTGGCCTCCGTTTAGCTACACTGCATTTCTGCCCAAACATAATCTTGGATGATAGCAAGGCAAGCGGACGTTCCACCTGGATGGAGGTCTACAGACAAAAATATCGCTTTGCGGGAGATGATACAGCGGTATCACTCGTAGATCAGGTCAAATATAGCTACTTCCCTCGGTTTCTAGAGCACAGCGCCCCGGTCAGATGTTCCTTTCTGTTCGACCCATTTGATTGAAATGCATTATCATGAAATATGTGGACCCGTACACATCCTCAAACCAGACCATGGAAGATGGAGATACCGCGAAAAATAGAATTCTTTTGGAGCAAAGACAGGCTTCTCTGGTCTTAAGCCTTGGGTACACAGTACCAAAGTAAGCGCGATTGTATTAGACAATGGTGAGAGCAGGTCTCTTTGGCTTAACATTGCCAAGTAACTTACGTTCCCTACCCATGGTGTAATCCGCGGCATTAAAGTGTTGGGTCGGTAAAGCACCCGGGCTACCATTTAACTAATAAATCTGACTAAATAGTGTGGCGTTGAGTGTGTGGAATACTTCTACCCACCTTCCAATTAATAGAGGGACATATAGTTTGCTTACCGAATGTTGGCTACCATAAGGCAGTTAGACGAAAGCGAAGTCGCCGACTATTGAACTGGGTGCTGCAGGTAATCAACCTTTCTCAGTTGCATTTGGCTTGATAGTGCGGGATGTGGTGAGCAGCGGGCAACCTGAGCCGGTTCATGAGGAATGTGGTCGTTTACAGATCTAATATTCACTGACCTTTGAGAAGTCCAGCATGCGGTAGTTGGTGTTCCTGTAAAGTGCGAATTCTTAAGGACCGCATGATTACACTACAACCTATTTCCAGAGTGAGACACAACTGAAGATTGGAAGCGCCGGTTATAGCTGCATAATTGCTACATCGAGTACCATTATAGTCTGATGCATTTACGATAACCATGATACACAGAGCTTCCCGGACTTTTACAAAATATCCTCTCATAAAATGGAAGATCTGTTGTCGAGGATTAGCCTGAGCAGAAGTGTGCTCTGATCTGAGGGCCACTTCCGCTGACCGCTAGATCTAAATGATCTTCCATACAGCAGCATCTGCCATTTTGTGGTGAAAAAGTCTGGGCCTCTAGAGGCTGTGGTGAGTGGGAAAGAACAAATAAAGACTCACCCGTTCCATTGCGTCGTCAAACAGTTCCGAATGGAGAACTTTCTCAAAAGCGGCAACCCCGATCATCGCAATATGGTCACCACCGTAGGCCTCTGTATAATCTCGTACGGCTTCCCCTGTAACCGTGGTTATGCCTCTGTCCAATCCATCGGATATAATCCAACATCCTTGCCAGAGAAAAGAAAGTTTCATAAAGTCGGGGTCGACCATCAATTGTTGGAGATTATAGAAGATTGCAACTAAGGCGCTTCTTATGAAAATGAGCGCAAATGTCAGAAGGAACATACAAATAATCGCCTTTTGAGAACCACCCTAAGTGGTGGATAAAATGTTTGAAAGTGAACTATAGTAGACAACTTGTGACCATCTGGCGGATTAAGTGTGCCCAGGATGTTCATGGGAAAACGATTTAGACGAATGAGCCAAAAGCAGCGCAATCCACGAGAGGGAAAACAGCGATGTTCCACCTATCATTACGGAATTGTGCATGGTGTCTGCTTTCATACCTTTAGCAGGTAATATAATGGATCTTGCTGAACAGTGTACTTTCCCAAGCAGGCCAACAATCGATCTTTTGATCAGTTGTACTGTAATACATGAATAGTAGATAACATACTGCACACGTGTTTCACAGAACCGTAGCATTATTTTGACGTTCCAATCTGTTGCTGACTTCATCCTGCCCATATTCTCACAAATAAACCTAGTTGTACTCATTCGACCCGGAAATACCAGCTCTAACTGGCGGAGCACTATGTGTAAGAATTATTCCAATAGCTAAATCGTTTTATTGATTTCGGAGGAGATTTGTTGGACACGCACACGCACAATCACCCTAATAAATATATAAATATATACAGTCGATTCCGGTTAATCGGACCACACCGGGACCAGACCATTTTGGTCCTATTAAGCGGCTGGTCCGATTAACCGAATTTACCCGATGTAACAAGATGGGACGTGCTATACATAACATAGGAAACTACTATTATGACCTGTATTGGCGG